TATGAATTGTTGCTTCATTTACTTGAGGCTCTGTTGGTGCATACAACATTTGGTATTGTTATATCTTCTCGGAGATTGATCCCTTTGCCATTATGTAGTTGTTATGGTCACTTCCTTTTCACCTCTTTTGCTCCTGAGGGAGGGCTCTCCGCCCTAAATAGTATGAGATGCCCAAACACATGACACCCAAACTGGAGAGATGAAATTGACAGCAGTTTTTCAGTCACATATACTCACAGTTCAGGGGAGGGTGACACTGCACACCAAGAAGGGCCACAAGGGCATTGTACTCAGGAGCAGAGTGAAAAGCTAAGCGCTGTGGGAGGTGAGCTTTGTAGCAAGGAGAACATAGGATGACCATTGGTTCCCTTGGGAAGATGTGATTGGCTTATTTGAATAACAAGCTGGCAGACAGGTGAAGAAAAGAACTAGCTGGGCAGGGAGGCTTTCCTGCTGGGGGGTGCAGGACCTATCTGACAGGAGCAGGGAAACTCACAGCTAAGCCTTTGGCACCCTGTGAGGCTCAAAGATATCAAGCCAGCACACGCAATTTTAGATCTTAAAATTGAGCAAAGACCCTCTTTCCCTATAGTAATTTTTTTTTCCTCTCAAGTCTACTTCATGAGATAATAATATAGCTACTCTTGTCTCTTTAAGAAATTGTTTGCATGGTAAATCTTCATCCTTTCAGCCTATTTAGGGGGTTACATTTGAAGTGAGTTTCTTGTGAACAGTGTCTAGTTGGGCCATGTGTTTAGATCCTCTCCATCAATCTGTCTTTTGGTGTGTTTATACCATTTACATTTAAGGTGCTTATTGATACATAATAGCTTAAGTCTGATATTTTATGATTTGTTTTGTTTCCTCTGGTTCCCTTTCCTTCCACTTTGATTTATTTATAGTGTTTTGAGTGTGTCTCTTTGTGTAGTTTTGTAGTGGTTGCTCTGGGTGTTACAATGTGCATGTTGTAATATAATAGTCTATTAGTACCAACATTTTACCACATTGAAATGTGGAAACCTGCCTTCCATTTAGTCCCTTTACCTTCCCCACTTTTAAATATCATTGGCTTGAGTATTTGATGCTGGTATAGTGTTCTAGTCATCAAATATGATTTTAAAAACTCATAAGAAGAAGAATAGTCAAATGTATATATCCATAGTTCTGGCCTTTCTGCTGTTTCTCCCCCCTCCTCATGGTCCCATATTCATCCTTTTATAATTTCTTTTCTGCTTAATAACTTTATGTAGCCATTTTTCAAGGATAGGTCTGCTAGTGACAGATTCCTGTAGTTTTTTTCATTCTTCTGAGAATGTATTTTCTTCTTCATTTCCAATGGATAGTTTTGCTAGGTGTAGAATTCACAGCTGACTGTTCTTTTCCTTAAGCACTTGGAAAATGTTGGGTTACCTCCTTCTGGGTTCTATGATTTCAGAGGAGAAACATATTGTCATTTGAATGTGTGTGCCCTTACAGTTATTCTACCTTTCATTCTGGCTGCTTTCAAGATTTTGTCTTTGTTTTTAGTGTTCAAAACTTGAATTGGTGTGGATTTCTTTGGGTTCACTTTGAGGTTTGCTCAGCTTCTCAAATCTGTAAGTTTCTACATTTACTAAATTTGAGAAGCTTCAGTCATTATTTCTTTGTGTACTCTTTCAGACCTTGTCTCCTTTGGGACTTGGCATAAATGTTGGGCCTCTTGTTATTGTCCCGTATGTCTGTGATACTCTCTTCATTTGTTTCCAGCTATTTTCTCTCTGTTGTTTAGTAGGGGTGAATTCTGTTGATTGGGCCTCAGTTTCTCCATTTATCTCCTCTGTCATCTCCACTTTTACTATTGAGCCCATCCAGAGAATTTTTAATTTCTGTTACTGTATTTTCAATTTTCTAATTTCCATTTGATTCTTGTTCAGTTTCTTGGCTGAAGTTTTCAATTTTTTTGTATGTTGCCATAGGATTTGTAGTCGCTTTTAGTAATTTGTTAAAGCATTTTAATAATGGCTGCTTTAAGATACAAGTCAGATAGTTCCAACATCTTATCCATTTCAGCGTAGGTGTCTTCAGTTATCTTTTCACATTAAAATCATAGTATTCTTGGTTCATGTAATGACAGGTTATATTCTGTTGTATTTTAACATACGTGGTTATTATGTTAGGAGACTGGGCTCCACATAACGTTTTTGTTTTCACAGGCAGTACTCCTGTTTAGGTTTAGTATTACTGGTCTACTTTGTGGGCTGAGGTTCCAATGACAATTTAGTTTTAGAGCCTTCATGGTGCTATTTTGGTCTGCTTGGTTTATCTGGTGCCACTGGGACTCCACCTGGTCTCTCCTGGTGCCCACTTGAGGGAATAGGCAAGCTGCCCTAGGCTGGGCCACCTATTGTGACTGGGTTGGAGGAGGTTGTTTTGGCCTGTTGGTGGGGGGGGTGTTGCTTATTGTCAGGGGATATCCTTTGCTGGGCTTGCCTGGCCCCACATAATTTTGGGGTGCAGGAGGAGCGCATCAGACCAGGCAGAATTGCCCTTGCCAGTAACCTTTGGCCACCCTGCTGTTTTGATAAAAAAGGGGCAGTTGGCCCAGGCCCTCAGGGAAAGAGAGCCTTCTACACCATTGTTGTCAGTGAGCCTCCCTGTCCCCCTGCCAAGACTGCTGCAGGTTTACCTCCTTCAATCTGGGAGAAGAATGACCTTGCCTGGTTGCCTTTTGCTGCTAGATTAGAGGTTGGGAAACACTGGGCCTGGGTCACCTTTCTGTTGGGTGGGGTCTTGTGAAACATACTGCTCTACTGTGTCATTCCTGTGTCCCAGGGTCCCTCACCAGTCCATCTTTTTCTTTCTACCTTTCAGAGTTTCTTTATTGTCTGTCTCTCGTAATATTTCTTGAGTTTGGATTATAGGAGAGAACACTGTGTTTCTTTTTTAGCCAGAAATCCTTATTGGTGGTTTTGTATTAGAACTGTGTTGAAGAGGACTGGCATGTTTGTGATGTTGAGTCTTTCTTTACAAACTAGAGTATGTCATTATTTGTTCAGCAGTTAATATTTACAGTACCTACTTCCTTGGGTTATGCTGCAGAATGCAGTTAAGGCAAGTAAAGTACTGAAAGCAGTGCCTGGTATGGAGAGCACTTGGAAGCATTAGCTCATGATGCTATTTCTTGTTTGCTTTGGTAGCATATTAAAACTTTAACTTTATCTTTTAAATGAAGTTCCAGCACATTCTCGTTAGATTTATTCCTATTACATCCTTTAAAAAAAATTTTTTTTTTTTTTATTTGCTGCTGTGGCCCGTTTGCAGGATGGGGGATGAACACAGAACACAAAGAGAGACAGACACACAAAGACAGTTACAAGACTCGAGTGCCGAGTGCACTGGTCAGTTTATTTTTATACTTTAAAAAATCAAAGTTAGTTCCTTATACGTGACCACACAGGCATTACAGCAATGGCCATAAATTCTGGAACATGTAGCCTTAAGGACACAGATGTCCCCTGACTCAAGGTGTCCAGGTGGTTGCTCTAGGCACCAGGCATAGATCACAGACCAAGATTAGCAAAGATGGGCAAGGCAGCCACTGGGGGGCATTTTCCGTCCCCAGTTCCTCTAGGCTGACCCGCAGCAGCTATGTCTGACTTAGTTCGTACCTCCCTGAGGAATCTTACCTGTCATTGACTAAGCAGCCATCTTACGGGGCTAAGCAGCAATCCTAGGAGCAATGTGTTTATCATGTGGTCTCCAGATCCCCACTGCCGTGGGGCTGGGCAGCTCTTGCTTACTTGCAGAAACTCAGGTCCTTTGTTAATGCCTCTAGGCAGCAACCTTGTTTGTCACAAGCACCCTGTCTGGAACACATTACTCTCAAACGCTCTGGGCAGAGCACGTACATTACTCACTAAATTTAATTCTTAAACCAGGAAAGTGTAATGTCAGTCCCCAACAATTTGCCCCGAAAGTGTTCACAGGAATTTAAATTTTTATTATTATACAAATAGGAGCTTCCCATCTATTATATCTTCTGCCTAGTTCTTTGGTTCTATCTTATGTTAAAATGTTTTAATACCTCTTTAAATGTTGCCTTCCTAAAGGAGTTTCAATTTGTCTGTTTAAGAGTAGGACCTATAACTGAGCTCCAGAAATGAATGAAGGAATGAATTGAGTGAACGAGCACTTCCTGTGGGCCTGGTGCTGTTGGGGGCTTTTATTTTAATTCCTATACTTTATAGAGTCTAAGATTTTCCCTAGGTGTCTTACACAGTTGTGTTATGTTGAACTCACTTCAAGACTCTTCTTCCTATATGCTGTTATCAAGCCAGGGCTTTTTTGTTTGTTTGTTTTGAGAGGGAGAGTATCGCTCTATCACCCCAGCTAGAATGCAGTGGAGTGATTGATCATAGCTCACTGCAATCTCTAACTCCTGGGTTCAAGTGATCCTCCCGCCTTAGCCTCCCAAGTAGCTGGGACCACAGGTACATGCCACCATGCCCATGCCACCATGCCCAGCTAATTTTTTTATTTTTAGTACATACCTGGTCTTGCTTTTGCTCAGGCTGGTCTGTAACTCTTGACCTCAAGCCATCCTCCCACCTCAGCATCCCAGAGTGCTAGGATTACAGGCCTGAGTCACCACGCCCGGCCAAGCCAGGACTTTTCTATTCACTCTTTGAACTGTTGGTTTTGGGGACTCACCTGCCAGCCTGTGCCTGCCACTTCTGTGTCTCTCTCGTCTAGAGTGTCCATTAATAGCTGTTGGCTAAGTGGGATTTCGAAATAAAGTATGGAAGTGTAGATTGGATCCATTTACTTTACCTAAACAGATGATGAAATACTAACAATTTTTTAAAGAGCCTTTGTAAGTGCAGAGCCCTCATGGTATATGTGGTAATGGAGACAGCAAGACTAAGGTTGTGATGTAGAGCACACTGTCTGCCTGGACAGGTGGTCCTGGTGGCTCTTACAGGCCCCATTCACAGAGGACCCTTTGGATATTCTTTTCTCAGAGGAGCTCTACGGCGATTTTGAAGACCTGGAGACAGGAGATGTGCACAAGAAAAAATCAGGCCTAGATACCAAGGTATGACTTTGCTGTGGCCGGCTGTCAGCTCAAGAGGCTTATATTGAGAAATGCAAATCTTACCTGTTATCTGTGAAGATTATAGACTGGATAGATAGATTCCTTCCTTAAAGTGTAGAGATGTGGGGACAGATAAAAGTTTATTTATTTATTTTTTATTTGTGGTCTTTTGACGACACCTACTACCCTTTCTTGCCATACTCATTTACCAAATTTCTTATGATTTTTTATTCATGAAAGTTTTAGCCCCTGGGTCTTCCTCTCCACCATTCCTTTTGCCATCATCTTTCTCTTCGTACATTTAACTATCATTTAAAAAAGCAAATTCCCTGTTCTCCCTAAGACTTCTTTAGAACAGTGTCTGGGAGCATCTGAGTTGAGGACACTTACTATTGTTTTTATTCCTGTTTGGCATTCCCAGCCAGATTAAGGAATGATAGTTAATCATAATGCAGGTGTCTGTCTTCTGTAGCAGTACCATTTTATTTAGAGATAAAGGCTGTGTTTTGTTTTATTCAGTATGATCATAACTAAGATTATTGCAGCTCAAATAGAACTTTTAAAATCTGCTTTAATCATTAAAGAAAAGATCTCCATAAACTTTACAAAATTTTCTTTTTTGGAAATTTAAGATTGAAGATGTAGAGAAAGACATTAAGGAAGAAATTGACTGCGACGCAGAGGAAAATGCCAAGAAAAAGCATTTAGATAAGAAGAGAAAACTGAAGGAGATGTTTGATGCAGAATATGATGAAGGAGAAAGCACATATTTTGATGATCTTAAAGGAGAAATGCAGAAACAAGCACAGGTAAGTTCCTCTTAGTCTCTTTTCAAGGCTGTAACAGACCTAAATTTGTTTGGGTCTCTGCTTCTGGCCTGCTTCTGTGTCTTTCATCATAACTCCCGGGTCAAGATGCACGTGAGTGTGTTTATTCATACGGTGATCTAATTGCTCCTTCAGTCAGAAGTTCACCAGAAAAACATCATTACCTATTTTTTTATACTAAGCATTAGGTGCAGATGAAGGAGAAGTGACTGAGACATGGTAGTCACTTTTGAGGATCTCACAGTGTAGTGATTTGAGACAGTCTATTATCACTTCAGTGTAAGTGTTGGCTTTACATTCCAGCTGCTGCTCCCTGATGTGTGGCCTGTGTGGCTTATGCACACACCAGTGCTATTCAGGGGAAGTTTTCTGGAAGCCCTTCTTGGTCAGAGTTCAGAAGGACATATTGAGTATAAGGTCAGATGTGGAGATAAAGGGAGATAGTGTGGCCTTCCTGCCTGGGGGTGTTGAGTAGGCTGTTTAAGATGATGATCTCACCCTGAAGGAGATACAAAGATGTGTTTACAGTTGATAGTGAGTGTCTGAGTTGTGCTTTGTTAGTGGGGCCACCAAGCATCTCTGTAAGCTGGACCATACAAATTAAATATATGATTTGTGAAAATGTCGTTGAAAGGCTTTGCTCAACCTTGGCCTTCATCTAGTCAAAGAAGTATCTGCTGATTAGTCATTAACTTAGTGATTACAAGTCTGTGTTGATCTTTGACAGATGTGAATAAGAAATGTAAAACTAGTTCTGAAGTCTTTGCTTCAGCCCATTTACAATTTAAGGTTATTTAGAGCGTTATGGACCATTGTAAAAGACTTTGAATTTTCACTCAGTGAAGGGGGGCCCTTGGACAGTTTTGAGCAGAGGCCAGATATTCACGATTGGCTTCCCGTTGAAAGGATCGCTCTGGCAAAAGTTCAGTGACGTGGAGCAAACCAGGGAGATGGCAGTAGCGGCGAGACAAAAAGTCATCTGGATATACTTTATTTGAAAGCTAAATCAGTAGGATTTCCTAGTGGAGTAAATGTGGGGTGTGTGAGAGGAAATGAGGATGAGTAGAAGTTACTGGAAGGAGTGATTATTATTAGTTAGGCAGGAAAGCCCCTAGTTGGTGCAGCCTTGTCTGAGAAGATGATTTGTGGGGTTGGGTAGGTTTGAAGTATGTTCAGACAAGTGGAGTGTCAAGTCTGGAGAGAGACTCAGCTGTACTGTCCTCAGCATATAGATGGCTTCTTAAAAGCCATAAGATGGCTTGGGGAGTGAGTGCAGAGATGGGGCAGGCAGAGCAGGACTGTGGGTGAGAGGAGGTAGCATCAGTGGGACCCAAGGAGTGCCCAAGAGGGAGAAGAAATCTCCAGAGAATGCCAGGCATGCTGGAAGCCAGCTGTAGAAGGAGGTGAAACATTGCTCAGTTCTGTTTGTTGACCATGATGCAGACAGAACTAACCACTGGAATAGCAATGTGGAGGCCTTTAGTACCTTGACAAGCATTTTCATAGAGTGGTGAGTGAAAGTCCAATTCTCGTGGATTTAAGAGAATGGGAGCAAAGGAACTGGAGACTGCTACTGTAGAGAACATTTGTGGGGTTTGCTGCAGAAGGAAGCAGAGAAATGGAGCAGAGGTTGATAGAGGAAGTGGAGTCAAAAGAAGGTTTTAAGATGAGAGAAATAACAGAGGGAAGGTATGATGGAATAAAGTCCAACAAGAATGGTTGGTATGTAGTGTGCTTTAGTTTGGCATTAAGTAGTGGCATGGATAAATAATCTAAGCTAGAGCTGCCAGGTGGAACTTTCTGCCTTCATGGACATGCATATCTGTGCTGTCCAATATCATAGCCACTGGCCACGTGTTGGTGTTGACCACTTGCAGTGTGGCAAGTGTGATTGAGGAACTGAATTTTAAATATTATTTAATTTTAATTTAAATATCCACACATAGCTACCCTATCTGGCAGCGCAGAGTCTGGATACAGGTGTAAACCCTGGTACAGGATTCATAGTGGGAGTTCTTTAGGTTTTCAGGTAAGTTAGGAAACAGGCATCAGGTGAGAGTGAGAATGAGGGAGGAGGTGTTGGGTGTTTAAGGACGAGAAAAAGAATGAAATAATTGTTTGGAGAGTAAGAAAAGAAGGCATGGACTGGAGAAGCTTTGAGTGTGGACATTCAGGGCTCCTCTCAGAGCTGTTTACATTTGCTGTATGTTGGAGCAACTGAGAAGAAAACAGTTGGGACATATTCTGAACAAATTGTAGGGATAAAATTTGTATAAAATATAAAAATAATTTATGTTATTTTTAATATGTTAAGGCTAAATAATTCTATCCATGGCTTACTTAGGGAGTACTCATTTTTTTAATATTAATAACGGCATTATGAATTTTCCCCCTTACACACAGCTTAATCGGGCAGAATTTGAAGATCAAGATGATGAAGCCAGAGTTCAATATGAGGGTTTTCGACCTGGGATGTATGTCCGAATTGAGATTAAGAATGTACCCTGTGAATTTGTGCTGAATTTTGACCCCCATTACCCAGTCATTCTGGGTGGTCTGGGCAACAGCGAAGGCAGTGTCGGATATGTGCAGGTAGGTGCCCTGTGCTGCACATTCAGCAGCTGAGGGTCTTGGGATGTGCCTGCACCAGGCATCTTACTGAACTCTCCTCTTCTCTCAGATGCGTCTGAAGAAACATCGCTGGTATAAGAAAATTCTCAAGTCCCGAGATCCAATAATTTTCTCTGTAGGATGGAGAAGGTTTCAGACCATACCTCTTTATTATATTGAAGACCACAATGGAAGACAAAGGCTTCTAAAATATACCCCACAGCACATGCATTGTGGAGCAACCTTTTGGGGTAAAATGTGATTAGAAGAATTTGCTTATAGGTTAATTTAAACCTTTAGGCTGTTATCACTATAGCTTTGCTCTTTTCCTTTCATAAAATCCCAATTCATAAGATTTTTCTGCCTTTTGGGGGGTGGGCAATGTTGGAGTAAATATATATAAGACAGAATCCAGAATTTGTGGTTTACTGTATTTCCTTTTTTCCTATTTTCTTTTAAGGTCCTGTCACTCCGCAGGGAACTGGGTTCTTGGCGATACAGTCTGTCAGTGACATGATGGTAACTGCCTTGGATGATTTACTTTATAGATTCTGTTTCAGAAATGCATCTTGAATATGGATTATTATGTACATGAAATGTTAAGTTGAAGATTGCTCATTTTTAATGTGTAATATAAAGTAAATTTCATTTTGCTTTTGATCTTCCTATATCCTTTTAAGTAGGGTATGGGAGTAGATATGGTGAAGTAGAAGAATTACAATGATACCGAAGATAATTTAGTGTGCATTTTTGGAGGTATTTAGCTAAGAAAGTACTTACGCAGTGTTCATCATGTGCTAATAAGCACTATACTGGGTACTGAGGATACGTATCATCCTAGACCAGCTAGACATGACCCTCCTAGACATGCTGGCTTAACAAAGTGTGTTCACTCATCTTCATTTGACCCATCAGAGCAAGTTTTATTGGCCCCATTTAAAAGAGAAGAAAACAAAATAATGAGCAGATGGAATCTGCCCTAGATGGCCAAAATTTAACTTCTTAAACATTGCAACTGTATTTTTATTTTCCATTTCATTCCAAATAGATTGTGAAATTAAGTTCTTATGAAATGACTCTCAGGAAAGTACTCAAGTCATCATCATTAGTTTGGCTTACCAGTATTAACATTTTAGATTGCTTCTGTTAAAATGCTGTGTTTCATGTTCAGATGTTCTCTCTTATTCTTTCTTAACTGATTGTAAGTGAAGTACACTTTGGTGATTTATTGTATCACAGACAATTGTAGTTTTGTCTTGCTGATATTATTCCTATATTCAAATTTTGGGGTTCCTTTTAGCCTGATTTCCGGATAGCTGCCACAGGAGTTGTCCTTGATCTGGATAAGTCCATAAAAATTGTGAAGAAATTAAAGCTAACTGGTTTTCCATATAAAATTTTCAAGAACACTTCATTTATTAAGGTCTGTATATCTCCATATTCCCATATTTATAAATGAATATATTGTTAAAGGAGGAATGAAATACTCTAAATTATGGGTCTAATGTTTTTAGAAAAGTATTTGAAATCTTTTATAAACTGGATCTTTAATATTGTTTCATTTACTCTTTTATGTTAGTCTCCGTGTTACTTAAATGTGCTGAAAAATCTTAAGGTGAAGTAAAACATATTTAATAATTGAGGCTATTGCTTATTGCTCCCATGTGAAGCTGCCGCAGAACTGATATTGAAAATATGTAATTTCATCCACTGGGTTTTATTTTCTACTTTTTTGGTTTGTGTTAAGAAAGGAGAAAAAATCATATGTTTAACCATTCAGTAGAAAAATAGACAAAGCAATTTATAGAAAACTTGGCAAGAGTGCAGAGAAATGGACACACTGTTCTGCAGTATTTTGGGAGATTAGTTTGAGCAGCTTTTATTGAAAATTTCATTAGGGGGGGATGTTTCCATTAAAAACAGGGTTAAGATCATAAAAGGTTCTTTTATTATAACCTAATAATACCACCAGCGTTTGTCTAGCTCTTTTTAGTTTATAAGTGCATGCACCTAAGTAATTGGATATGAGCTGCAGTCCAACCTGTGAGGTGCCAGCAAAGGCTACCTGGGCTGGTTCAGTCTAATAAATACTTCTTTGACTTTCTCTTCTACAGAGAAACCAGTGATGAGTATGCTAATGAGCCCACAATAGAGTCTTGATTAATGTTATTTTGGGGAAAATAATATAGAGTTGTATTCTTTCTGAGGTAATAATTTCACTTTTAGGGGGCAAAATACATTTTGATTATTATATCATCCTTAAATTAATTGTTCTTTTTTTTCAACCAAGGCTATATTTATGAACATAGAGGTAAAATATATGATTCTATGTGTTTGTATTTTTATTTTTATATGCCTGTAGGGAATGTTTAATTCTACCTTGGAAGTGGCCAAATTTGAAGGTGCTGTGATTCGAACTGTCAGTGGAATAAGGGGACAGATCAAGAAAGCACTCCGGGCTCCAGAAGGAGCTTTCCGGGCCACCTTCGAGGATAAGTTGCTGATGAGTGGTAGATATCCTTTGTGGCGTGTTCCAGATTGTGTGACTATTCATTATTGTTTTCTAGCCAGAGTTGAGTAGAGGTTGGAGTTTGAATCTCTAGAAAGTCAGAGTCAGTTCCAGCTCTCCCTGGTCAGAGTACGTTATGCAGTGTGATCATTCACGTTGCGCCTGCAGCCCCTTGGTCACCCTCAGTAAAAGTGCTGTGATAGATGAGTAATTTACTTAGTGAAGTCCCTCTTCAAGTACTGTGCAACAAGGTATAGAAGTTTGTGGTGAAATTTTGGGTTTTTTTCCTTGGCAAAATGGATATGAATCTCTTTTGAAAATGTTAAAAGTTAATTTCTTCTCCTTCCAGATATTGTCTTCATGCGAACGTGGTATCCTGTCTCCATGCCAGCCTTCTATAACCCTGTAACATCTTTGTTGAAACCAGTGGGTGAGAAAGACACCTGGTCAGGGATGCGAACAACAGGTCAACTTAGGCTTGCCCACGGCATCAGACTAAAGCCCAACAAGGATTCTCTGTATAAGGTACAGGTTGTGTGTGTGTTAATGCAGATGACAGCATCTGCTCTTACAGATAGGGAGTCAGACAGAGGTTTTTATATGTAATATCTTACGTGATTTGAAATTTAAAGTATAAAATCTAACATTAAATTTGAACAGTTGTATATTCATCGAATATTTTGGAAAAGGAACATGAAAAAATGGTAATAGTGGGTTTTTTTTCTGGATTGAAAAGTAGACTTAAACTTTTTTAAAAAATAAATTTTGTATATATTTGCAGTTTACAACATGATATAGAAAACATAGATAGTAAATGGTTACTATCGTGAAGCAACTTAACATATCTGCTATTTCCCATAGTTACTTTTTTTGTGTGACAGGAGCAGCTAAAATGTACATATTTAACAAAAATCCCCAATAGAATACATTTTTATTAACTATAGTCTTCTTGTACATTAGATTTCTAGACTTGTTCATCTTACATATCTACTTTATATATTTTTTACTTTATTCTCCCCATTTTCTGTTGGTCATTTTTATTTCTTCTTTGGAGAAATGTCTGTTCAGATCCTTTACCCATTTTTTAATTGGGTTATTTTTCTGCTATTAAAACAGTTTGTAAGAGTTCTTTATAGATTTTGGATATTAACCCTTTATCAGATATGTGGTTTTCACACACGTTTTTCCATCCTATAGGTTGCCTTTTCTTTTCTTTTCTTTTCTTTTCTTTTCTTTTCTTTTCTTTTCTTTTCTTTTCTTTTCTTTTCTTTTCTTTTCTTTTCTTTTTCTTTTTCTTTTTACGTTGCCTTTTCATTTTGCTGTGATGATTTGTTTATTTTGCTGTGCAGAAGCTTTTTAGTTTGATATAGTCCTTATTTATTTTTCAATTTATAGCCTGGCTTTTGGTGTGATATCCAAAAATCATTGCCAAGGTCAAGGGGATTTTCTCCTATGTTCTTTTGTAAGAGTTTTATGGCTTCAGGTCTTATTTAGGTCTTGCATCCATTTTGAGTTGATTTTTATATATGGTGTAAGATAAAGGTCCATTTTCATTGCATGTGGAAATCTAGTTCCCCCAGCACCATTTATTAAAGAGATTCCTTCCCCATTGTGTCCTCTTGGTTGTCCTTGTGAAAAATTAGTTGCTATGAAATGTATTTGGATTTATTTACATGCTCTCTGTTCTGTTCCATTGGCCTGTGTTTCTGTTTTTATGCCAATACAATACAGTTTTCATTATAGCTTTGTAATATAATTTTAAATCAGGAAACGTGATACCTCCAACTTTGTTTTTCTCACTATTGCATTGGTGGTTTGGGGTTTTTGTTGTTCTGTATGAATTTTAGGATTGTTTTTTCTATTTCTGTGAAGAATGCCATTGGACTTTTGATAGGGATTTCATTAAATCTTTCTATTTGCTTTGGGTAGTATGGACATTTTAACAATATTAATTCTTCCAATCTACAAACATAGGATATTTTTATTTATTTGTGTATTATTAAGTTTCTTTCATTGGTGTTTTATAGTTTTCAGTGTTCATATCTTTCACCCCCTTTGCTAAATTTATTCTTAAATATTTTAATTTTTTTGATGTTGTTGTAAATAGGATTGTTTTCTTGATTTATTTTTCAGCTAAGTATAATATTATTTGTACATAGAAATGCTACTGATTTTTATGTTGGTTTTGTATTAATATCTTGCAACTTTACTGAATTCATTTATTAGTTCTGATAAGGTTTTTTGTGGAATCTTTGGATTTTCTTATGTAGAGGATCATGTCATCTGCAAATAGAGATAATTTTACTTTTTTTTTTTCTGATTTGGATGCTTTTTGTTTTTTGTTATTTTTTCTTGTCTGGTTGCTCTTGCTAGTACTTCTAGTACTGTGTTGAATAAAAATGATGAGAGTGGGTATCCCTGTCTTGCACTCAATCTTAGTAGAAAAGCTTTCAGTTGTTCCCCATTGATTATTATGTTAGCTGTGGGTTTTTTATAAATAGCCTTTATCATGTTGAGGAACTTTCCTTCTATACCTGTACTGTTAAGAGTTTTTATCAAGAAAGGATGCAGAACTTTGTCAAATGCTTTTTCTGCATCAGTTGAGATGATCATGTGGTTTTTATCTTTCATTCTGTTAATCTGATGTATCACGTTGATTGATTTACATGTGCTTAACCAATCTTGAATGCTGGGGATAAATCCCACTTGATTTTTGATGTGTTGTTGAATTCCATTTGCTAATATTTTATTGAGGATTTTTGTATCAGTGTTTGATTTATCAGAGGTATCAGGCTATAGTTTATTGTGGTTTCTTTGTCTGGCTTAGGTATAACAGGTGATGCTGGCTTAGTAAAATGTGTTCAGAAGTATTTCCTCTAGCTCTGTTTTTGGAAGGTTTTAAGAAGTATTGGTAATAATTCTTCTTGGAATATTTGGTAGAATTGAGTCATGAAACCACCTGGTCCTGAGCTTCTCTTTGTTAGAAGGCCTTTTTTGTTATTGTTCTGTTCAAGCTTCTGTTTCTGTTTCTTCCTAATTAAATCTGGCAGGTGTTATTTTTCTAGGAATTTATCCAATTCTTCTAGGTTATCCAATTTGTTGGCATATAATTGTTCATAATAGTCCTTTGTGATCCTTTTTATTTCTTAGGCGTCTGTTGTAATGTCTCCACTTTCATTTCTGATTTTATTTATTTGAGTCTTTTTTTCTTTATCTAGCTAGATATTTTCCAATTCTTGTTTATTTTTTAAAGAATCAACTCTTGGTTTTATTGATTTTTCCTCCCTCCATGGTTTTTCTGTTATATCTATTTGATTTATTTCTGCTCTGATCTTTATTCTTTTCTTCATTCTGCTAATGTTGGGTTTATTTTGTTCTTTTTCTAGTTTCTTGAGATGTAATATTAGGCTCTTTATTTGGGATCTTTCTTTCTTTTTTTAATGTAGGCATTTCTTGCTATAAACTTTCCTCTTGGAACTGTTTTTAATGCATCCTATAGGTTTTGATATGTTGTGTTTCCATTGTTGTTTGCCTAAGATATTTTTAATTTCTCTTTTGATTTATTCTTTGATCCATTGGTTGTTCAGGAGCATGTTGTTTAATTTCTACATATTCTAAATTTTTCAAGATTCCTCCTGTTACTGATTTCTTGTTTTATACAGTTGTGGTTGGAAACAATACTAGATGTGATTTCAGTCTTCTTGAATTTGTTTAAACTTGTTTTATGACCTAACGTATGGTCTATCCTGGGGAATATTTAATGTATATTCTGCTGCTGTTGGATGGAAAGTTTTATGTAAGTCTGTAGGAATATTTGGTTTGAAGTGCAGATCAAATGTAGTATTTCCTTATTAATTTTCTATCTGGTTGATCATTGAAAGTGGGATATTGGAGTCCCCTAGTATTGTATTGCTGTGTATTTCTTGCTTCATGTCCACTAATATTTGCTATATACATTTAGGTGCTTTGATGTTGGGTGCATATATATTTACAATTGTTATGTCCTCCTGATAAATTGAACCTTTATCATTAAATAATGACCTCCTTTGCCTTTTGTAACGGTTTTTTACTTGAAGGCTATTTGAAGCTGACTTGAAGCTACCCCTGCTCTCTTTTGATTACTGTTTGCGTGGAATATCTGTTTTCATCACTTCACTTTTAGCTTATATATGTTTCTAAAGCTAAAATGGGTCTCTTGTTGGCAGCATATAGTTGACTTTTTAAAAAACTCACTCAGCCACTCTCTCTTTTGATTGGAGAGTTTAATCCATCTACATTCAAGGTTATTATGGATAGGTAAGGACTTACTTCTGCATTTTGTAATTGTTTTCTGGTGGTTTGGTATTCTTTGTTCTTTCCATCCTTTCTTACTGTATACTTTTGGGATTTGATGATTTTCTGTAGTGGTAAGCTTTGATTTCTGTCTCTTGTTTATGTATCTACTGTAGTTTTTTGCTTTGAGGTTACTCTGAGGGCCTACATAAAACATCCTATGGTTATAATAGACAACTTTAAGTCAATAACAATTTAATTTTGGTCACGTACAAATGCTCTAGACTTTTATCCTCCCCTTCACAATTTATATTTTTATGCCACAATTTATAATTTTTTATATTGTATATTCATTTCTTAACAATTTGTTGTAGCTATAGTTATGTTTGACCATTTTGACTTTTAATCTTCATCTTAGAGATTTGAAACATTTACACACCTCCATTACAGTAATGGAGTATTCTGAATTTGACTGTAAATTTACTTCTACTAGTATGTTTTATGCTTTCATGTGTTTTTATGACAGCAATTATCGTCCTTTCATTTCCATCAAAGAATTCTCTTAAGTATTTCTTGTAATGCAGGTCTAGTGTTGATAAATTCCCTCAGCTTTTGTTTTTCTAGAAAGCTATTTTTCCTTCATTTCTGAAGGCCAGCTTTGCTGGGTATAATATTCTTGGCTGACAAATTTTTGATTTTTTCCTTTCAGCACTTTGACTATCTATATTATCCCATTCTCTCCTGGACTGCAAGGTTTCTGTTTAGACATTCACTGATAATCCAATAGGGACTTGTATGTGACTTGATACTTTTCTCTTGCTACTTTTAAAATTCTCTTTCTCTTTGACTTTAGACATTTTGATTATAATGTGCTTCAGTGAGAACCTCTTTGGGTTCAACCTGTTTGGGGATCTTTGAGCTTCTTGAATATGGATGTCCATATCTCTCCCAAGATTTGTGACATTTTCAGCAATTATTTTGTTAAATAATCTTTCTGTACCTTTTTCCATCACTTCAATAATGCAAACATTTGTTTACTTAATGGTGTTTCATAAGTTCAATAGGCTTTTTTCAAGGCCCCCTCCCCAACTTCTGATTGGGTTATTTCTAAAGACTTGTCTGCAAGTTCAGAGGTTCTTTCTTGTGCATGATCTAGTCTGATGTTGAAACTCTGTTGTATTCTTTATTTCATTCATTGAATTCTTATAGCTCTAAGATTTCAGTTTGTTGTTGTTTTTTTTTAATGATTTCTATTTCTGTTGAATTTCTTTTTCAGATCACTAATTATTTTTCTGATTTCATTGAAATATCTCTTTGTATTCTCATGTATCTCACTGAGTTTCCTTAAGATCCTTATTTTTAATTCCTTTTCAGGCAATTTGTAAATTTTTGTTTCTTTGGAATGAGTTACTAGAGAATTACTGTGATCCTTCAGCAGTGTCATGTTTCCTATCCACCTGCATTGATGTCTGCAAATCTGATAGAATAGTCACGTCTTCCAAACTTTACAGAGCGTATTTCCTAGGGAAAGACTTTTGTCCCACAGAGGTCTTTGGGTGCAGGTTGGAAGGATGCCATGGCTTAGGTTCCAAGTGGATGCAATGGGATCTGCATCTGTACAGAATCTGCCTCTGTGCAAATTCTTCAGCTGCGATTAACATCAGCTATGACGGCTGGTGCCTCAGAGGTTTAGTTAGGCTGAAGGAGTTTGTGGCAGTGTGTGCTGTTAGAGTCCTCAGTGTCACAGGCTTTTAGGGTCTTCTTATTCTCATTTTCCCCACAATGAGAGTCTTAGGTGATCCTTCTGGGCGTTGGATCTGACATGACCCACAAGTAGCTGCAGTGGTGTTGGGTTCCAGGGCAGCTGCCCAGAGCAGTGCCCAGAGCAGCTGTGGAGTCCAGGTCCTGGGCTTAGGGTCTTGTGAACCTGCTGTGGCACCTGGGATTTGGGACACAGGTTCACTCCAAGGCACAGGTAGATGCATGTATCCCACAAAGCTGGGGCCTTTGGCTCTGAGGTGGACTCCAGCTGCTTAGGCCTACAGAGCTGGGTTGCAGCTATGACTTTGATCCTGGGGGCAGGACACAGTACTGGCCTGGCCCTGGGAAAGTGTGCTCTGGAATTTCAGGCCCTAGATTGTAGGGCACAGCTGCAATTTGGAAACTGGAGCCAGTAGGGCATAGTGGTAACATACGTCCCAGGGGACGAGGCACCACATAGTAGTGCCTTTGGACCCTGCAATGGAGGGATATGGCAGTATCTTGGGCTCTGTGAGGCCAGATGCAGCATCAGGAAGTACTCAGGAACAGCAGAGTGTGGCTGTGGCTTGGGCTCTAGGAAGGTAGGGTGCAGCACAGCAACCATTTTACTCCCTGAGGAGTCAGGGTGCCTCAGCAGTTTAGATTGTAGGGTCAGTTCAGTTCCAGGGAGCAGGGTGCTGTAGTTGTTTGTCCAGAAGGGCAGGGTACACCAGCTCAGCCAATGCTTTGTTTCCCTGGGATATAGGGTGGCACATTGGCTCAGCCAGAGCACCTGTTCTTTATGAAGTGGGGTACTGCTTCAGCTCTGGTGCCAGGGAGTGTGACTGCTCTGGATGACCAAGGCACAGATTTACTAGGAGGTAGGGTGCCAAGTCAATTCTGGCCCTGAGGGGCTGAGCATGGCAGCCTGGCCCCTCAGGATAGGATGTATGCTGTGGTTTGGGTGTGGTTTGTCCCTGCCAAAACTTAAATTGAAATGATTCTCAATGTGGTGGTGTTTGGGAGGTGTGACCTAGTGGGAAATGTTTGAGTCATGGGGCAGATCCTTCTTGAATATATTGTGCCAGCGATTAGTTATCAGAGAGTGCAATGTTATAAATGTGAGTTCAGCTTCCTAGACTCTCTCTTGCTTCTTCTCTTTGCTATATAATCTCTTTGCATGCATCTGTTTCCCTTTCCACTTTCTGCAATGAATTGAAGCAGTATGAGAGCCTCACAGATGGGCTCCCGGGTCTTGGACTTTCCAGTCACCAGAATTGTGAGCCAAATAAACATCTTTTTAAAATAAAGTACCCAATCTCAGGTATTTTATAGCAGCACTGAATGGACTAAGACAGTGTATCAGCAGCTCGGGGGTGGTGGACCACCAGGTTGGGGTGGTATGGGGTGAGAAAGCCTCAGGGATGGAAGGGTGCAGTGGCTATTTACCCCTGCAGCAGGACACACTCCTGCAGAGTTTCTAGGTCCAAGATGGCATAGTGCACTGCAGCATGGGTTTTGGGGGAAGCACAGCTGTCTGGACTGCTGTCTGGACTCCAGGTGGCTCTCTTAGCACTTGTAGGGAGTGCTGAGGTCCTCTTGCTTACCTTGTCCCTATAGGGAGCAGTCCTCTAGGTTCAAGCTGATCCTGACTGAGAGATGCCAGGCCAGAGGCATGTTGCTTCCTTCCCTTCTTTATGTGACCGTCCTGGTTTCTGTGTTCTGCCAGATTTTTGCCACCCCTTTGATGTGCTGGCACTCTCCTTTGGTTATTTTCATCAAAATATAGTTGTTTATTTGTTGCTTTGGTTGTCCTTGTGGTGGGGGGACAAGCACAAGAGGATTCTGGTTGGCATCTTGCTGACATCACTCCCTGTTAAACTTTTCATTGTATCCTTTTTTGAACTTTATACTCTTTTGAGCTTTTCCCCCCCACCATATACATTTATTTTAAAAATGTTAATGTGCTCATATTTATTGAAGGAATATGGGTTTTAATTAAATTTTTAATGTTTTAGTAAACTTTTTATTGAAATGTTAACATACAGAAAAATATCCAAATCGTAAGTGTACAGCTCAGTGAATTGTAGCACACTGAAGCTGCCATGCCCTGGACCAAGCAATAGAATTACCAGCATACCAGAAGCCCCTTCTCCCAATCACTATGAGCTCCTCCTCGATGATAGCCACTGTCGCAACTCCTGACATATAGATTAGTTTTGCCTGATTTTGAGTTTTCTAAAATATAGCACATACTATTTTTCCTAGCTTCTTTGACTCGATTTTATAGGCATCAGCCATATTCTTGTATATGGCAGATATTCATTTATTATTATTGTTGAGTTCCATTATGTGACAGTGTCATAGTTTATCCATTGATGGATAGAAATGATTTCCATTTCTTGGCCATTATAACGCTGCCCTGAACACTAGGTCTTGGGTGTGTGAGCTCTTTGGTGCACACACTTCTGTTAGAAGATCCCCAGGGGTGAGTTGCGGGCTCTAGGGTGTGTGCACTCAGCTTCAGTGCAGGAGGCCTGTGCTCATTCTGGAGTCACAGCGGCTTAGCCTCGACCCGTAGCTCCATAGAGTGCTCATCCTTCCACTGCCTTGCCAATAGTTGGCCAGTCAGTATTGTTTTATTTTAGGTTTTCAGTCCCTGTCTGGATTCCCACTTTCATTTAGATTTTGGTCTCAGAAGTTCATTACTTTCTTCACAGCTTAACAATGCATTTGAAAAGATTTATTTGTTTTAATCCAGGATTTTATTCAGTTGTTTTGTAATAAGATGGTAGTTTGAGGTTTCATTCTGTTCTTCTGCTAGAAACGGAAGTCAGCAGGCATTATTCTTTCTATAAAATAGTTAATAAAATTTTGGTTCAACTTACATGAATTTTTATTCAAGTATACTTCAAGATGTGGTACCATTAATTATCCAGGTGCAGTGCTTATACTTTTGTGAGAACATTTCTCTGAGTTTTTTAAAGCAATTTGGGTTTCTTAATAGACAATTTTGAATATTATTGTGGATGATGTCTTTAATAATAAATTTAAAGACATAAGAGAAATATTCTGTATATAGTTGATGCTGACCTTGTAAAGGCCAAGGGCAAAACTTGCCACTTTAACAGTGCTTCTGAATATTTGTCATTTTGCATAATTTAAACGGAATTTAGATTACCTTGAAAATTCAGTATAAAACATTTTGCCTTCATCTATTGTTTGAATCTTACTTTTTTTCAGCCAGCTTTCTATTAGAAACAGAATAAAGTTAAACTTCTTAATTAGAACCAGAGATGGGGACACTTTGGCTACTGATTAGAGGAAGAACTCTGTCCTTAAATCAAGAGAGTTTGATAGTCGAGATGAAAAGCTAGATTATTCTTGTCAGGGTGGAAAACAACCACTACAGTGCTCCAAAGATAAATGCCCTGAATTTTCCATTAAAAGAAACTTTGGAAGCCAATGCAGGACGATTGCTTGAGGTCAGGAGTTTGAGACCAGCTTGAGCAAGAGTGAGACCCCCTTTCTACAGAAAATAGAGCAATTAGCTGGGTGTGGGCACCTGTAGTCCAGCTACTTGGAAGGCTGAGGCAGGAGGATCCCTTGAGCCCAGGAGTTCGAGGCTGTAGTGACCTATGATTGTGCCACTGCACTCCAGCCTGGGTGACAGAGTGAGACCCTGTCTCTAAACCAAACAAACAAAAACTTTGGATCTGTTCAGTTTGCTCTGTTGAGACCCCATAGTTCCATGCCAAAGAAATGGGCACAGTTGATTTTTTGGAAGTTATAAATAAATATAATCTGTTCCTCTGTTTGCTTAGAGTTGTGAATGTTCACTGAGGTGGTCTGTATTTGATGAATGATTGAGTCCTGGTTTCTGAGGGACAGCAGACTAGTCTTACTGATCTTCTGGAAAAGTTAATGAGATTTTATGCAAAAGTTTTAAATGCACATAGTACATATATCATAGTTTATATATGTCACAGTCTTTGTTTTCTTTTTCTTTTTAGCCAGTTCTGAGGCAAAAGAAACATTTTAATTCATTGCACATTCCAAAAGCTTTGCAGAAGGCATTGCCATTTAAGAACAAGCCCAAGACCCAAGCAAAGGCAGGCAAAGTGCCGAAGGACAGGAGGAGACCGGCCGTCATACGTGAACCTCACGAAAGGAAGGTACTGTCGCCAGGTGGCTTAGCACATGTTGCATTTAGTTATGAAAATAGTGCTCTTAGTAGCACACTTGGCATTTCTACTACATTCTCGGTTTCATCAAGAAAAGGGTAAGGGCCAGAGTTATTCAAGGCAATAGGATTGGAAGTTAGAGGAAGGGCCAGAGTCCCTGTGCATTTTAATAAGGAGTAACAGGCACATATCTAGGGAACCGCTCTGTCCTCACTAGCTGCACACAGTATCCACAGAGTGATTAACCAAGGTGCTTTTGTGGTAAAGGTAAAATACACTCACACGTGTATCTCCATGCCTATTGTGATTTCCTGGGTGAGGGTGGTTTTCACTGAGTTAATATTTATGTGGATCATGAATTGCCTTTAGTTTTGATACCATCAGCCAAGGTGTTAGCCACTGAAACATGGAATGCAAGCATGCCGTGACTGTGGGAATATTCTGTGTCTGTCTTGTCAGATCCTTGCACTGCTGGATGCTCTGAGTACAGTGCACAGCCAGAAGATGAAGAAGACCAAACAGCAGCGGCACCTGCACAATAAAGAGCACTTCCAAGTAAAGCAGAAGGAGGAGGAGGAGAAGCTGAAGCGACAGAAGGACCTCAGGAAGAAGCTCTTCCGAATTCAGGGTCAGAAGGAAAGAAGAAATCAGCAGTCCAGTCTGAAGGGGGCTGAGGAACAATTGAAGTGAGCCTTCGGAAGGGAGGGGCTGTCCTCTGGATCTGCAGAGACAGATGGTTTCAAATATCACCATGCTTGTAAATAGCAAGTCAGGGGGCCAGAGCCCCAGAGAGACATCTTTGTGGGATACATCACCCCGACTGTGCCTTTGAGAGGAAGAGTGGAGGAGGGAGGAGACAGCACTGGTAGGACACATGTTCATTCTCAGCTATGGTTATATGAATTCTCTTACTTTCCTCTACCTATCTCAGTTTAATTATTTTGTGCTACAAAGATATCATTAAAATCTTTTTCTGTTAATTTTGGCTTAGTAGTTTTCATTAGGGATGAATGCCTGACAGTTAACTGTGGATAGTTGTTTATTCTACCACCTTTAGGAGTAGTCTTCCAGAAGGGAAAGAAATGTTTACCTGAACCCTAAGCTTTAATGTAAAATTTTAGAGAAGGGTGTGTGGTGGTTTTTGTTTTTTGGTCTGTTGTTGTCTTCTTTGATAATTGACTCTAATGGACATTTTACATCATATTTCATATGTTTTACATATTAGTATAATAGCTAGGTAGCTGTAAATACTTATTTAAAACTTTAGACCAGGAGATTGCTATCTCAGATACAGAGACCAAGGAAATAGTATTAATATATATTAATGAAGCAGACGGCTCTTATTATGCTCATGAATTATACCTGCCTACCTACATTGCCCTTCTTTAATGGAACCTTTTATTGATGTAATCATACTATTATGTATAGGGTGTATATATTTTATGATTATATATTAACATAATCACACATGATCTAATCCTATATGATATAACCAAAAATTCACATATAGTTGTACACTTTGCCTATTTTCTCCCAATGCTAATGTTTTGCAAATATCACAGTCAGGATATTGACCTTGATGTAATCCACTGATTTTGCTCAAATTTCCTGTATGTAGGCATACACATGCGCACACACGTGTGTGTGTGTGTGTAAAAATATGGGCTGCTTCGTGGATTTGCATGTCATCTTTGTATAGAGGCCATGTTAATCTCTGTATCGTTCCAATTTTAGTATGTGTGCTGCCAATGTGAGCGCCACACTGCCTTTTAAAACATCATATGGACCAAAGAAAATTTACCTGAGGCCAACCAGTGGGTTTCCTAAGAGGGTTGTGCACAATTGGCCTAGTCTGAGAGGATTATAAAAACCTAAAACTATCATTGGTTGAGTGCTCAGCCTTGTGTCTCTATAACAAGTGATGGAAATGTGAGAATTCTGCCAGGGCTCACTCTACCTAGGAAGGGACAGTCAGAATGTGCCCAGAGTAATGAACTACTAAGGAATGAACTCTGCGTGTAAATTTTCCTTTGTTCCTTAGGAGCAGTTATGAATATCAGCATCCAGTGTACTGATAGGTCTGGGATTGATACATAATAGACCCATAAAAATTATAAAATAATTGAAAACTAATTTTTGTTATATACATAGCATAATTGTTATAGCATAATTGATACTGTAGTTTGAAATATGAAACTATAATTCAATTAAAAATATACAAGGAACTCTAAGTCATACCATGTTTTGCAGCTAAGGTAGCTTTTACAGGGTCCTTCAGAACAGATGAAACCTAACTTTAAAAGGGTCTTAGGGGCTAAAGAAATGTTTCCAGATAATAACTTGAATCCACAAATGAGAAAAAAAAGTGTATTATATAAGATTATACAAGTAAATTTCTTAAAAGAGTAAGCATTGCAAATAATAAAGCATATATAATTGTATAGTCTCATATTTTAGCCAAAAGTGAAATTCTTTAGTAATGGGGGAAATAATGTTTAAGCACAGTTGCAGATAATTGTCTTTTCTAAAGACAGCATAATGTATGTGTAATTATATCTGCTAACATTAAAAATCTTAGTTCATCATATTTGGAGAGCAAGGGAAATGAAAAGTTTGTACATCAAGGTTGTTTAAAACGAAATTGGGGAGAAGCAAGATGGCGGATGAGAAACATCGCCAGACAGAGGTGTCTCTGCAGAAAAGACAGATTCTAGCAGAATTTAGAAGAAAGAAGCAAGAAAATGAGCAAACATCGGACAAGGGACGGAAGGAGTGGTACCTGAGACCACGGGAGACTCCACGGGAGGAAGTAGCCGAGGAGAACTGGAAGCAGAGACCTCCAGAGCAGACCAGAGACCAGCGGCAAGGGTAGGTGAAGTGGTTAGCTATACCCTCCCTTGAATCTCGGACTGCTGGTGGGCTCCCCAGCGGGTAGAGAGACCTAAGGACACCAGCCCAGAGACGGCCACCGCCAGTGAGCGGTAAGCCTGTGGCGGATGCGGCACCAGGCCCCCAACTCCTGCAGGGCACTTCCCAGTGCACAGACCCGAGCCGCACGGCAGGCGCCAAATTGCCTCCTTCTCCCCTCCCCCAACCCTATCCGCAGCTGCCAGAATTGAGGCCTGGGAGATGCCAGCGGGCACAGCTGGCCGGGCGCGACGCCTTTGAAATTCAGGGGAACCCCGCAGAGAGCTACCTATCAATAACTCCATTAGGGATCAAGGAGAAAAATAAATAAGCTGATTGCTGTTTTAATCTCTAGGTTTTTTGGGTGCGTCTCTCGCTCGTTATGCAACATAAGGAGTACTGAGACAGAATTTCATACCCTCTCTTGATCCACTCTTTCAGACTCTACTCTGACACATTATTGGGAATATCCACTGTGTTTAGAACTACCGAATTTTTTTTTGTTTTTTTTGGGACACAGGTCTGCTCTTGTTGTCCCAGCTGGAATGCTGTGGCATCAGCCTAGCTCACCAGGCAACCTCAAGTCCAGGGCTCAAGCGATCCTCCTGCTCAGCCTCCCGAGGAGCTGGGAACTACAGGCATTTTATGGCACCACGCCCCAGCTAAATTTATGTTCATTTTTCTTCCACTTTGTTGTGAGTCATCTAGCTAAATTCTTTTCTACTCTCTTAGTAGAGAGGGGATCTTTACTCTGCTCAGCTGGTCTCGAACTCCTGATCTCAAGAAGGATCTCCCGACCCTGGCCTCCCAGGAGGGCTAGGATTACTAGGTATGAACAGCGGAGCCCCGGCCTATTCACGCTAGATGTGACAAAAGCATCAGTGGGTTCCATATTTTATATGCTGACATGTTTTCACACATAACCTGCATTACCGGACCTGTTACATGAAACTGCTTAAAAACCTCCGACGTGTACATCACTGTATCATGGTACAGATGCACACACAGCTCAATGTACCGTATCCTTGTTATATGGATATTTAGGGCGAATTCAATTTTTCACTAACTATA